GCCACAGGGAGAAGAGATAGAAGGGTAAGGGAAGTATCATGTTCAAGGGGCAAGGGAAGGGTAAGCCCAAAGGCAAAAGCCGAATGCAAGAAAGTTACATGTGGAACATCTGGGGAAAACATGATAATTGCTATAGATGTGGAGGCATTGAGCATTGGTCTCGTAACTGCCATGTTCCCAAGCATCTGGTTGAGCTCTAATGAGAAAATGAGCCAATATGAGTCATACTTCACCACTGAGCCTGAAGCTCACATTGAAAACTATGATGACATGTTTGTCAACACTAAGGATGGTGAAGATGTCCATATGGACGATGATGAGGACAACCTTATTGAAGAAGTAATCTCCTATATGTCTCTTATAAGTGTCTGACATGTATAGCACATGTAGAACTTTGGGGAACATAAGTTTGTGTTTATCTGCTCATGTGCTGATCAGTAGAGTAGACTGGTTTCTTAACAGAAACTACCTCTATCATTTTATTTTCATTTTTTTAATCAGAATCGTAAAAGGAAATGAAGCAAAATATTATCGAATACAGATACTGAGTAAATATGTATTGGAACAAATATGGTCATGAATATCTATGGGAACAGGAAAACCCCTTGTACCGTGCTTACAAAATTAAGAATATACTAAATTGTGTTAAATATAATATACCATTGAAAATTAGACTCTTTAGGTTTTTATTTTTTTAAGAAAAACACAGAATTATAAATATGTGTTGTATCCACATAATAATCTCAATTTCAATGTTATCTATATAACAATAAAATTAATAATTAATTAATATAATAGACATGCCAAAAAATATATAATAGACATGGAAACTATCTGAACCGATTTCATACCTACTATAGAACAAATCAAATTCAATGGAATATAGTAGAGAAAACACAAAGTAGATTTACTGCTAAAATTTTTAACTATAAGACAAAAGCAATAACTCTATTTTGACCCCACATACCGACAACCCAGAGACGTGGGAAATTCCTAGCTTGAATCTCGGAGAAAACCGAACGCCTAAGAAAACAACTACAATCACCTCTCGAATATGTTTGACATACGTACAACAAAGTGGAAATTAAATTCATAATATTTAAAGAAGGTAGGGTTTACACCAACAAAATCTGATAAGTACAGTGAAGAAATCGTGCCATAAACCGAGCAATTAAACAAAAAAGAAAATTTGAAAACGCATGCATGTTTAGTAGTGCAAGAGATGGCAACGGAGAATTCACCTCGGGGAATGCATCCCCATCCCTGCCCCCGCGAGACATCCCCGTCACCGCGAAACACAGCGGGGGAAGCTTTGTTACCATCCCCATCCCCGCACGGGGAATAAATCCCCGCGGTGATTTCACCCTTGCTTAAAAAAATATACACATGTCAAATTATATATGCAATACAACATATATTCGTACTTTATATGAATATATTAGCATACATCTACTAATATTTTCTACTAATTCACATGATAAAAACATAAAGTTATCATTTATCAAAGACTACAAACAATATAATCACACAGGATAACTAAAATACATTAAAGTTGGACCCGGCCCCTACGCGGGTCTTCGCGGGGAGCGGGGACGTGGAATGAAGAACAATCCCCGCCCCCCGTGAAACCAACGGGGACATGCCTCCTCTCATTTATGTCCCCATGGAGAATTAATTCTAACCATCCCCTCCTAATAGGTGAATTCACCGCAAGGAAACAGTGAACGGGGCCTATTGCTATTAGCATACGTTGGGAGAGTCACCTGCTAGATTTAGCCATGCTATTGAAAGTATATTTTAATTAGGATAATCTACCAGATTTGATGCTAAGTAGGCACTAATTTATTGTCATAAAAATGCAATTAAGTAAGAAACATTTAGAACCTTTTGATGGTGAAATCTATAGTACAGCCTGACATGTTTTAGAGTGAAACTAAAATTAGACTTTCGGACAAGTTAGTAGATTTGACAAAAAAAAATAAACATTAATCTATTATCATAAAACAGAAGAATAAGGGTGATATATTTTTAAAATCGCTCTTTTAAGGTGGAATTAATCAACAATAGACGTTTGGGCAAGACCGAGAAGATAAGTTTGTCCATGTAGCTAAAATTAGGCTTTACGATATTTCATTTTACAGCAACAATTTATTGTCATCAAATAGGCAATTAATCATAATTCAGGCTAATCTTCCAGATCCTTTTAGATTATGATTAAAATCCTCCAGATAAGCTAGCATTTATTTATTCCATATATAGCAGCCATATTTGTTCTATATATATGAACCATGGCTCCTCAAGTTCACGCAAACCAACATTCACTACATAGATCACAATAAGACAGGTAAAACATAGTAACGTCATATATATTTCGCAATGGTGAAATGTATGAAGCCTGCCTACCAAGGACTCATGTTGTTTTGCTTGGTTCTTGTGGTGTGCTCCGCTCTTCCTGCACAAATAAGAGGTAATAAGAAAACTAAATTCCTTTTTTTGGTGATTTATATGTCATTTCATCATTTCTTTTTCAGTTTTAAAACATATAGTACATATGATTCCTTCCATCTCTAGGTCAAACCATAAGGAAGATCGGAAGCAATATTCCGATGGGACTGAAAAACGTGGTCAGCCATGCGAGCTTGAATGTTTGCTATCAGGAAGAGAGGGACTTTGCCTATTGCTGTTCAAAGGACAAGAAGTGCTATTCAACAATTTCTGAGTGTCTAGCAAAATGCACCTACAACTAAAAAGCGAGCGAAGGACTAATTGGCAAATTAATTAAGTGCGCTCCATTTTGTGGTTGAATTGGATACATAAGAAGTTATAGTGTTTGATTGGTAGTAATCACATCCAGTGTCTGGGAATAACTGATTTGTATGCTCCAATCCATATGTATTTCCTAGAAACATATTGGAGCATATGAGATGATAATAAAAAAATATGCGTACATATATATTGCACGTCAACAAACAAAATTACAATTAAAAAAAATCATGTTCTAAAAAAAGTACCAACGTTTTCAAAAAATATATTTTTTAAAACAGCCTTGTTACAAGAAAAAAAAACTTCGCAACACAAAGCAAAGATGCCCCACAATTATTTCTTTTTTTTTGGATGGATTATACCCTACTGTCAGCACCATTTTTATTTAGAGATGATCTATAAAACTTTCTAGGTACATATGCCACTGTACTCCCTCCGTTTCATAGGTTTAGATGTTTTTGTTGTGTACTAAGTCAAATTTCATTAAGTTTGATCATTTTTTTTTTGGAAAAAATATAGTGTAAAGCCTGGCCCACCATTGATAGGCCACCCAAGTTATCTTTGACCTGTTTCATTACAGGCTCAACCGGAGTCATAACTTATCTTTGACCTATATATCCAAGAGACCGTTTGATGGATAAAGATTACCTTATATTTTACACAGTTCTCCCCATAGTTAATTTAAGATGGAGACTAACCACAAAACATATATATTTCCTCCGTTCCGAAATATTCAACACTTGGTTATTTTACACGGTCATGAGAGCCATATTTCTTACCATGATCTTTTTTTAGCAGAGCAAGAAATATATATTTTTATCCGAGTTTGGACGGGTGTATTTTATTTCTAAGAATGACAATGCAATTTCATAGCGTCCCATTAGCATACTATCTTCTAGGGGATGCGATGTAGTTACAAGCTCACGAGCCAAGGGACTATGTCAGTTACTGGTTTGCTATATATCTTTCAACAGATTTCATCTTTAAAATCAGACGGAATTTTCACCATTGATTTTACGTATAAGATCCTTGCTTTTCTCGTTTGATCACAAACAGACTGCAACTGATAGAGAGCCATGTCATGTCCTGGCGTGCGTGCAGCAACCAGAGCAGGGCCAATCAGGCTGGCAACTGGTTAATAAGTGAGACCCAGCTGAAACAGTTACGTAATAAAATGATCCAGCAAATTAAAGTATGCAATATGCCTATTTGGTATTATAAGTATACATGAGCTTAATGACGTTATTAGAAAAATAAATTGAAGCCACATTTCAAATTACAGTGTAATGAGAATGTTGTAAGTTATTTTAAGCTACGATGTAATTTATATAAAATTACATTGTACCTTGTTAATATGCTTGTAACTTTTTAAATCTAGAAATTTTAAAACAAAATTCAATTATATTGTATTTTCTAACTAAGATACTTGTGTACGTCTTTATCCTCTTAGTGAGCTTTATATTGTTCTAATAGCCAAGTGTAGGGTGGTTTTAAAAATCCATGTGATTTTCCCTTGAAAATTTCTTGACAAAACAATACCTAGCAAAAAACGATTTTACTATTCCGCTTACAATAGATTTTGGGTTAAGTTTCAGTCGTAGAATCTTCTAGATGTGTTATTGCAGACCGAACTTATGGTTAAACTCAATTAGTACAAAACACCAAAAATAAAGTTTACTACTATTTTTTCTCTATATTTATGACATTTTAAATGTTTATCATTTTTAATATTTTATTTAAAATAGACTATGTTTATTTATTAGAATTGTGTTAAGATTTGAACTCCAAACCTTTCGACAGTTTAAAAGAAATATATATCCGAGGCTGTTTGTTTCCAGTCGAGTCAAGTCACCAGCCGCATCCATGCCTAACCTAACCACCTGGCAGAACGCCTGTTCTACTCGACGTCGCCCACGCACACCCCCGACGCGCAGAATCTCCGCCGAAGCCCACGTCCGCACTCATCCTCATCCAGGTGGAAAGCAAACCGGCTTCCATGCCGCTCCACCCCCCATCCCAGCACACCGCGCATGCACGCGTCGGCTCCCCACCGTTCTCCACGCGTCGCGCATCCACCCCGCTCACACGTGCCCCCTCGACGTGTCGCGCTCGCGCCGCGCGCGCCTCGCCTATAAGTCCAACGCTTTGCCTCGTTCTCCTCCTCGCTTCACCCACCACACCGATCATTTCCAACTGAAACAGTTGATCAACTCATCGCCTCTCGAGCAGGCGAGCACACACAACACGCAGTGATCGAGTCGGGCTCGAGCGACGTCGTACGCTGAGAAGATGGCGCACTTCCAGGGACAGCAGCACGGCCACCCGGCGGCGCGCGTCGACGAGTACGGCAACCCGGTGGCGGCCGGCCACGGCATCACCGGGACGCAAGAGGCAGGCGCCGGAGGGTACGGCGCCGCCGGCAACGTTGCGCAGCCTCAGCATGCGTTCGGCGGCGCCACCGACGCCGGGGGTTATGGCCGGCAGGCCGGATACGGCGCCACCGGCACCGGCACCCACGACGCCGCGGGCTATGGTGGTTCCGGTCAGCCGGCGTACGGCGCTACCGGCACTGGCGTCCATGACGCCGGTGGTTTAATGCCTGGGCACACTGCCGGGCATGGTACCACCGGCACCGGAGTCCACCACGGCGCCGGCGCCGGTTTACCCGCGGGGCAGACCGCCGGGTACGGAACAACCGGCGTCACCGGAGCTCAGCACGGAGCTGGTGGACTAGGAACCGGGCACACAGCCGGGTACGGAACCACCGGAGCCCACCACGGCGCCGGTGGCTTGGGCACCAGGCACATGGCTGGACACGGAGCCACCACAACACCCGACACCATGGCATACGGAACCACCGGCACAGGGGCGCCACACGGCGCCACCGCCGGCACCGGCGCGTATCCGCACGCAGGCGGCCAGTTCCAGCCGGCGAGAGAGGAGCACAAGACCGGTGGCATCCTCCGCCGCTCCGGCAGTTCAAGCTCAAGCTCGGTAACGTTTCTCAACACACTGTAAATTAACCGTAACTAGATTATGTCTACGTATCTTCCTGTGTCATCAATGTATTATATATGACGTGCAGTCGTCTGAGGACGACGGGATGGGAGGGAGGAGGAAGAAGGGAATCAAGGAGAAGATCAAGGAGAAGCTCCCCGGCGGCAACAAGGGCGGCCAGCAGCAGCCGACGGCCACTGCGGCGACCGGCGGATATGGTGCCGGCACGGGACACACCGCCGCCGCTGGTACAACCACCGACGCCGGCGGGACGGCGTATACACCGACGACGCAGCCGACGCACGAGAAGAAGGGTATGATGGAGAAGATCAAGGAGAAGCTCCCCGGTGGTGGCCATCACTGAGCCCTTTTTGAGGTTCAGTTTAGCTCCAGCTTTGGAGTGGCCGTACACTGTTCAGAATAACCAATACTCCGATGTATGGATGAATAAAAACGAGTGGTTGCATGCTTCAATGTGTTGCTAATATTAATATCGGTCATAGCTTCTTGTATTTCTGAAGTTTGTACTTGCCTGTCTTTTAAAATGTTTCCTTGTATTTATGAAGTTTGTACCTGCCTGCCTTTTAAAATGTTTCCATAATGTTGCTAGTAATGTTGTTATCCAGTATCTCCTCCGTCCTTGAAGTAGGACTGAATGTTACGTCTTCCGTCCTTAAAAACAACATGGGACTTAAAAAAAAACCATAGGAGTGAATAGGACTTAAAAAAAAACATAGGAGTGAATATGATACTACATAGGAGTGAATAATACATAGGAGTGAATAATAGAGGTTAAAAAAAACATAGGAGTGAATAATAGAGGTATGTTTATATTCGTAGTATTCCAATGTATTTTTTTTAAGGTATTCCCTCCGTCTCCCTCCGTTTTACATTGTTTTACAATGTAAGACTTTTTAGCATTGTGTCCACGTACATATAGATGTTAATGAATTTAAACACATGTATGTACATGATTCATTAATATGGCAATGCTAAAAAGATGTTAATGAATTTAAACACATGTATGTACATGATTCATTAATATGGCAATGCTAAAAAGTCTATATAGATGTTAATGAATCTAAACATCATATATCTAAACTCATGTATATGTCTAATGTATATGTCTAGATTCATTAATATCTAATGATTTATTAATATCTAAATAAATATGGGCAATGGGTAATGCTAAGTCTAGGAAGTATGTTTATATTCGTAGTATTACATGTATATGTCTAGATTTATTAATATCTAATGATTCATTAATATCTAAATGAATATGGGCAATGGGCAATGCTAAGTCTAGGAAGTATTTTTATATTCATAGTATTATAATGTGTTATATTTATATTCGTAGTATTACAATGTGTCTTTTTATAAGTATGTTCATATTCGTAGTATTATAATGTGTTTTTTATGGTGTGTTTTTTATGGAACGGAAGGCGTACTCTCTTTTTTTTAATTACAAATTCCCCCTCTTTTTGGTAATTATAAATTTTTGGTAATTACAGATTCCCCCTCTTTTTGTTAATTACAAATTCCCTCTCTTTTTGGTATTTACAGATTCCCCCTCTTTTTGGGTAATTATAAATTTTCTACTGCTTTGAATCTTGATTATAATTTTCTACGATCGTTATTACAGTACTGCCACTAGAAAATTACAACCAAACTGTCATTCGAGTGGTATGTTTAGCTAAATTAGAAAAAACCAGGGGTAAATTTGCACATGCTCTTTAGGTTGTTCTTTTATGATGGAGTGCTCAATCCTCTCTTTTCTGTTCTTTTTTTTCCGCCCATTCGTTTTCTAATGCATGACGTTCGTTTTCTAATGCATGATATCATTGATTTTTTTTATGTTTGATCACCGTCTAACTCTATTCATTTTGTAATGCATGATGCATGACACCATTGTATTATAAAACTGATCATTCGTCTTATTAGAAATTTATATTATTTATTTTATATTTACAAAATATTTTAAATAAGACTAATGGCAAAATATGGATAAAAAATCAACGATGTTATTAAAAGTTTATGTAGTTATTATTTATTTTATATTTACAAAACATTTTAAATAAGTCTAATGGTAAAACATGGATAAAAATAGACTATCCAGTACTATATCCAGTACTATGAATCTATTTGGAGGTATATCCAGTACTATGAATTTACTTGGAGGTATATCCAATACTATGAATCTACTTGGAGGTATAGTACATGCAAAAATGCATAGCTGTGAGTTGTACGTGTGAACTTTCATGTTCCGCAATCACGCGTATAACACTGCCAAAAACTCAACTAGCCCTGACAACCAAAACCCTCCTGACGTGAAACTGTCAGGAAAATTCTGTCCGAACTGGCTTGTTGGGAAATTTTTAATTTGCCTGACGTGTATTCTTCAGGAAAAATAGTGCTGACAGGTTTGACCGTCACAGTGAATTTTCCTGACGTTATTAACACCGTCAGGTTTATTCGAATCTCACTGAAAAGTAAAGTCCCATCTTAAAAATTGAACTACATTTTACTGACTGTTTCTACCGTCAATGTTAAAATTTGAGCTGCCCCGCTCTAATAAGGGTTCAGTTTATTAGACGTGGTAGATTCTCTGACGTATTTTATTTAAACTTCTAGCCGATATGGAACATCTAATAAACTTTTGTGAGCCAACGAAACAAAAATTGGCATAATACACTATCCCAGATAGGGTTACTGGTGCTTGTTAGGAATACCACAAAGATGTCGGTTTTCCCAACTGGCACCACGAAGACGGCACTAGTAAGAACACTCAAAGGTGCCAGCAATTGACGTATACGATTTGAGCCGAGCCGATATAAACATCCAAAAATCTACCAAAAAGACAACTGCATATCAGCAGCCATCACACAATCAACAATTCTTGGATCACACGATCAAAAATTCATGGAGTGCTTCACATCATTAAATCAGATATCTTAAAAACCAATCCAAATCAGAGAATCGGCAGGGTGAAAGCAGCAGAGCGTTGACCACCGCTGCTCACCGGATGAAGGAGGAGGTAGGCGATAGGAGGAGAGGCGGTCGGAGAGGTTGCTGGATCTGGAAGACGTGAGCCCGCCGACGTCGCCCGTGGGCCGCCGCCGCTGCCACTGCCTCCCCTCCCACCGGATCTAGCAGAGGGCCGCCCGCCGCTGCCGCCTCTCCTCCCGTCACCGCCTGCTGCGAACCTAAATTTCTTAGAAAAAAATTAAAGAAATAACACAAGAACAAAAAAACACCTCAGTTTTCCTAGGGCTTAGAGCTAAAGGTACTGGGGAGTGGAGACGAGAAGAGGCGTGAGGTGTCAGTGATCAGAGGCTGGCCGCCGGCATGAGACGAGAAGAAGCGTGAGGTGTCAGTGATCAGAGGCTGGCCCGGCGTGCCGGCGGCCAGCCAGCCAAGCGCCTGCCACTCGGTGGTAAAGTACCTGCGCCTCTGTGGTCTGCGCTGCACGGAGGGAGAATTAGAGAGAAGGAGATGTGTCGCGTCGTGGTTGGGTTGTGGAGTCGAGAGTAGCGCAAGATTCGCGAAAAAAAGGAGAAACGAAGCGGAAGAGACGTGTTGTGGCCTGGTAGCGCCCTCCCTCCTAGCCTTGCAATACACCGCGCCTCCCTCCCTCCTAGGCTACGCTTGCTGTTGACGGTCATTAGCGACCAGTTTTGCCTGTCAATATTACCTAAATAAAAAAGAACTAGTTATGCTTGAAATGCATATTTATGTTTAAATAATAAATATTCCACTAGCACTAGGATTCTAACCTTTTGCAGAGAATGTACATAAAATGAAGGAGAAACGACATCAAAACAGGTGATCGATCAATTGGACGATGTCGAGAATCAAACTTATCAATGAATGGACAATTGGGCCAAAATTCACAAGCCTGCAAAATATATCAAGAGAGGAGGTCACCAGCCGATGATAGGCTGGATTGAGCCGGCCCATGGTTCAGTCGAACCCTCCCTGGACAGTGTGGATCACTTCCCAATGATGGTTGGAGGGCAATTCCAACCATTCCAACTCCACAACCGTCATTGGCAGTCTATTTAGGGAACTCTTCTCATCACTTCTTCCACACACCTCAAGCAAGAAGTTTCATACATCCTCATGCTTAGTATAGTCTCTAGGGTATAGTGGAATAGAAATAGAATAGAGTTTTCAGTCGTCGGAGTCTTCGGAAGAATTCGGGTATGGCTCTAGTAGCTTTTCCTTCTTTTGTAAGACTTGTACTTTATTTAGAATATTCTTCTTTATACTACTTTGGTATAGAACTACTTTCCGAGTATGAATACCAACTTTATTATATATCCATGTTATATTCATTATGATGATAGCTTATCTGGGAGATGCAATGGTGTGGGCATACTAATCATATTTACGATGACTCTATATCATGATGATGATATTAGAGTAGTATTTGGTGATTTATGCGTGGTGTTTAGATTACTGGATATCTTTATTTAGGGTTATATGCTACGGAAGCGAGGTAGGCCGTTGATGGTGACAGCTCAGTACGGGTATTCCTCCGCGTGTGTATATAGTCCTAAGTTAATTTCCTGGGGAGGGTACTCCTCCATATTTAGCCCCGGTTGGATGGTCAAGACGGATTGTCGTAAGGAACTCGGTGTCACACCCTGAAGTTCTTTCCCAAGCCAAAATTGAATTTATAAATTACCTAGAGGAAATATCGGTGTAAAAGCAAGAGAGAAACCCTAATAAATTAATGCAAATAATAATCGGGATTGGCATGTGGAATTTTTCTTGAGTTCTACATGTCGAAATATGCTAACAAGATTTTTAGTGGAATTTTCAGAGCCCTAGAAATAATTTTAACCAACTAAAAATGAGCACAAGCATTATTTAATCCCTAGAAATTCAATTCTTTCTTTTTCTTTTCTTTTTCCCTCCTTTTTCTTTTCGAATGGGCCGCTGGCCCATTCTCTCCCCCTCCCCCTCCCCGTTGGGCCGGCCGCAGGCCACGGCCTAGCCAGCCGCCCGAGCCCCCTCCTCTCTCCCCGGGTCGCCGACAGGTGGGGCCCTCCTGTCGGGCCCGTCTCCCTCCTCCAGCTGGCGCCGCCGCGCCCAGCAACCGTCGCCGCGCCCCGCTCCTGCGTCTCCCGGGCCACGTCGCCCACGTCACCCTCGTGCCCGCGTCCCCGCGCCCACTTCCCCCTCTCTCCCGCCCGCGCCCGCGCTCGAGACGGCCGGGATTCAATTTTTGAATCCCGCCTCTCTCTCCTCCCCACCTCTCCCCACTCCGCCGGCGAAATCGCGATCTCCCCGGCCACGATCGACCCTCGTGGGTCTAAATAAAGCACCCCCGTTCCCTCCTCTCTCTTTTTCGTTTTGCAATCACCTGCTCCAGTGCACTCCACCGCCCTAGCGCCGTCGTCCTCCTCTCCGGCGCCCGCCGCCGCCGCTCCGGTCGCCGCTAGCTGCCGCTAGCCACCGTGCCGAGCCGTGCCGTCGACGTTGTTGCGTTCACCGTCGTGCGGGCCGTCCCGTCCACCCCTCCTCCGTAGCAATCCGCCGCCGGAGCCCCGTCCGCGCCGCGCGCCGGTGAGCTTCGCCATGGCCGGCGCCTTCGGTTGCCGCCCTAGCCATCCATG